CCTGCCTATGTCCTTAGACCAACAACCAAAAACTAGCTACAACCAAAAACCTGATGTATCAGTGCACCTCTAATGTTTACCCATTCACATTCCCAAAAAGCAGCTTTATGATTTGGTGCTATCTTCTTCGATTTCTTGGGAGGTGGCAACTGTGTGCAGTCACTGCATGCTATGCTGTTTCAGGCTCACGATCAAAGTGCTGTGAACCCATCTTATCATAAGCCACAGTCCTGCTCCAGAATTTTTTGGAGTTTTCTTAAAAGCATCCTGGGAATAGTAGATCATGCTCTCTTCTGATTAGGGGCGCACTGATAAAGATTTTCTTGGCTGATACCAATAGCCAGTTATTAACGAGGCATATCAGCGGATACGGATCTGATAGCTGATTTACAGGAATGCAGCCTGGCAGCTTGGAGAGCAGTGCCCTGTTGGTAAGTCTTTGGAGGGAAAGGGATATGGTGGGGGGCAGATTGAGGCCCCCACAGTGAGGGAGGGAGTGGGGCAGGGGCCAGGTGCTGCACAGCCAGGGTGATGAATAGGACCCTGGGCCAGGTGCGGGATGGAGCCATGGGCAGCTTGTCCAGGGGGTGTGGGAGGTTAGGAAGGTGGTGGGATGGCTCCCTGTTTCTGTGTGCAGTCCTGGGGGAGGCATGGGGGGCATGTGCCCTCTTGGATTTGTGTGTGGGGTGGAGGAGCCCTGTTGCAAACTCAGGGGCAGGGGCTATGCCAGCCTCTTCCTGGTGCCAGGGCTGGGCTCAGAGCTGGGGGGAGGCAGGGCAGGCAGTGGTGGCATCAGTGCTAGGAAAGGGGGCTACAGGTAATTTTGGGGTGGCTATAGTCCCCCAAGCCACACCCCCAGTGCTGCCCCTGCTCAGGGCATTCTGCTCTGCTGCCTTCCCCTCAGGAGCCCCCTGATGTGGGACAGGCAGGGAACACGTGGCTAGTGCAGGACTCCTGAGGGGAAGGCAGGAGAGCAGAGTGTCCCAAGCAGAGGCGGTGCTAGGAGGCGTCTTAGGGGGGCTGTAGCCAGCCCATAATCCCCCTAGTCCCCCTATCCAGCACTGCCACTGCCCACCCTGCTCCTGCCAGCCCAGCCCTGGCCCAGTCCCCTCACCGGGAAGAGTCTGGCTTAGCCCCTGCCCCCTAGGCCACAGCAGGCAGCATGCTTCCACCCCCCACACAAATCTGGGGGGGGAGGGGCATATGCCCCCCATGCTGCCTCTGGGGTTGTGCACAGCGGCAGGGAGCCGCCCTCCTCCTCACCCCCCTGCACCCCCAAGTTGCCTCTGGCTCCATCCCACTCTCAGCCCTGGGGTTGCATTCACTGCCCTAGCTGGGCAGTGCCTGCCCCACTCCCTCCCTCACTGCAGGGGCTTTGATCTGTACCTCCTATAACCCCTTTCCTCCCCCATGCCCCTTCCCCCTCACAAACTTATCGGCAGGATGCTGCTCTCCAAGCTGGCAGACTGCATTCCTGGTCACATGCACGCTGTGGCTCTGAACATGCATACATCATTTATCAGTGACATTATCAGCTACACAGGCCAAAAAAGCCAATTACTGATAATGTTAATTTTCCTTTTTATTGGTGCCAATCCAATATGTGACCGATTCTATCAGTGCACCTCTACTTCTGATCACTGCTCATTGAGAACACTCCCCTTGCTTACACCTTTCACATGCCCAAGTCTTTATTGAGAATGGTATGCAGTGACTCAGTGCTGATGCCTAACATCCAAGTCGATGTGCCAGATTTTTGATTTTGGCATTTATCACTATCTTACGAACTACATCTTACGGACTACATGTGGCCTCTGTGGGGTGTCCTGGCTTTGGCTTATCCTTGGGGCTATTTCTCTTTTGCTTTAATTCATCTTCTCATTTATTTATTTTTACCTTATGTGAAGGGACTTCTTCCTGCAGTATTGCTACCATGTTCTTATGAAATTCCTTTGAGATTGAGTCTTGCTTATGGAGGTACTTGTTTACCATTCTGGTTTCATTCGTCTCCAATTTTTTAATTTTCAGTGACTGACTGACTTTGACACATGTTTGTACAAGTTCTGCACATATTTAAAAAATGGCTGCTGAAAAATAAATGTATCAAAATATCAATATGTTTGATTTGTGAAATTTCTTATATTCTAGATAGGTCAGGCTAGATACTTTCCAAAAAACCCAAGTAGAAATCTGTTACCTGGAAGCTGGTGACCCAGGTCCCTCTTTCTCAAGAAAGTTTTGAATCTGTATCTCCAATTTTCCAGCACAGTGCTCTAACCACCACACCATAGGAGATGTTAGCTGGCTCATTCTCTCATTTTTGAAGCTGGCCTCCTGAACAGCCAGGAGAGGGAGATCTGGGACCAGGAGGAAGAGAACAAACCAGAGGGTATGTGGCTCTGTAAGATGGATGCTGTTCTGAAAGCGAGCAGGCCCTTGGGCAGAAACTTTTCACGGCTTCCATTCAAACAACTGGAGAAAGGATTGGATCATGTTTAATTTGTGGCATGCTGGTTAAAGTGAGCAGGGTCTTAGGAAGTTGGAGAGAAATGCATTCAAACCCCTTCTGGGCCAGGATTGTGCCTTGAATCTGCGTCTTCTGCTTTCTGGGTGAGTGCCCTAACTATTTAGCTGTTTGGCTAAAGATGGGGAGGTCCTTTTCCTTGTTTTTTTCCAGGATGTTTGCTCAGGTACATGTATATTTACCTGAGAAGCATGTGACCTACTGCACGTGCCGTCCACACATGCACGCTTTTGTGTCAATACTACAGCAGTAACAATCACAAACTGTCTAAGTACTCAAAAATACCAATTACATGGTAGAAAATTGCTGTATGGACCCCCCCACTAAATGTGCAGGTAAAGGTGTGATGGAATCTAATGCTCAATTCACACAATTGTACCTCCTGCCATGCTAGGCCCTATGCTTGCTCTTCCCCCCCCAATTTTTTGGAATTTCACATGTCTTCCATGAGTTCTCAGAGATCATCACTAATGGCTCTAAATTTACTTCAACAAATTCCCCAAGTATTGTAGATTGAATTTTATCAGGCCTTTCTAATTTTAAAATCTCTTTCTTGCCTAATAGTCTCTAACTGGTTTGTCCTTATTTGAATCTGAGCGTTTACTGTATTGTCACCAATTACATTAGGCACGTGATCATAGTTAACCTTTTCAGTGAATACAAAAGCAAAATAAAAAAAAAAGACATTAAACACTCGTGCCATCTAATCATTATTGGTTATCTTACCTTGTTGAGCTTTTTCAACCCTGAGTGCCTTCCTTCACCTGTAGAAGTGGTAAAACTGTTTCAAAGAAATACCAACTTTTCTCTGAAAAATATTGCCTGGTTAGGAGTAACTTAAAAGACAAACATCTTGCCCAGCCTGAAAACATGCCATTGTTCTATAAATTTAGCTCCTTTGTATAAAAGGATGTATAACTATACAACTATAACTATGTAAACTGGCAACTATAGGCCAGTCAGTCTCGCCTCCATCCTTGGCAAAGTCTTTGAAAAAATTATCAAGGCTCACATTTGCGAGAGCCCGGCAGGACAAATCATACTGAGGGGAAACCAGCACGGGTTCGTAGCAGGCAGATCATGCCTGACTAATCTAGTCTCTTTTTATGACCAGGTTACGAAACGCCTGGACACAGGAGTAGGGGTGGATGTTGTATACTTAGACTTCAGGAAGGCCTTCGATACGGTATCCCACCCCATACTGGTGAACAAGTTAAGAGGCTGTCACTTGGATGACTGCACAGTCTGGTGGGTGGCGAATTGGCTGGAGGGTCGCACCCAGAGAGTTGTGGTGGATGGGTCGGTTTCGACCTGGAAGGGTGTGGGCAGTGGGGTCCCGCAGGGCTCGGTCCTTGGACCGATACTCTTTAACGTCTTCATCAGTGACTTGGACGAGGGAGTGAAGTGTACTCTGTCCAAGTTTGCGGATGACACACAACTGGGGAGAAGTGGACACGCCAGAGGGCAGGGAACAGCTGCAAGCAGACCTGGATAGGTTGGACAAGTGGGCAGAAAACAACAGAATACAATTCAACAAGGAGAAATGCAAAGTGCTGCACCTAGGGAGGAAAAATGTCCAGCACACCTACTGCCTAGGAAATGACCTGCTGGGTGGCAC